TAAGCAGTCTAGAGCTGTGGTTTGTGTGGGTTTTATCATAAAGATACAGAACGTGTCCTGGATGGTGGAGAAGCTGATAGTATCATCATGACTCAGGAGATCCAGTTGTCCTTGTAAGACTTTGTTTTTCATACTGTGCTACCTGAAGCAGGGGTTGGGGGAGGGGGGAACTCTATCAACTTCATGTATGTTTTATAAGATATTTGTGTATTTACATATTTATCTGTTTTATTATTATTTTATGATCATTTAAAAACTGACCTTTTATTATTAAAATCTTATATTATTATTAAAAACCTAATTTATGCTATAGTTATGTGGGGGTTTTATAACATTTTTAAGATGTTATTGAACACCTATGTAAAAGGTAGGTATCAACCATGGGCTTGAGGAGGAGCTTGGGAGGAAGGTCAGCTGGGCCACAAAAATTCCACAGATGACATTTCTGCCTCAAGGGGACCTCTGATAAGAGTTTTTCCTTCAGAAGGTGTGAGGGCAGCTAAGGCAGGTCGAGGGAGGGAGGGAGCGATGAAGCACTTTTGTTTCGAGGAGCTGCAGTGAGGGCTTTTGGAAGCAGGGCAGAGGCTGGTGGGTTTGGGCATCCCTCCCTGCAGCTGCTCTGGCTATCCCTCCTCTGTGCAGTGTCTCAAGCATTGGAACGGGCTGCCCAGGGAAGTGGTCAAGTCCCCATCCCCGGAGGTATTTAAAAGCTGGGTAGATGAGGTGCTTAGGGACATGGTTTAGTGGTGGGATGGCAGTGCTAGGCTAATGGTTGGACTTGATGATCTTAAAGGTCTTTTCTAACCTAAACTGTTCTATGATTCTGACAGAAGCTTTGGATGCTGCAGGCAGGCTTCTTGCAATGCGAACGCACAGCAAAGCCAGTGGTAGATAAGGCAGTGAGGGGTTTAAATCTTTGTGGGTTTTCGAGACTCCTACAGGCAAGAAAAATAGCACAGAGGGAAACTGCCCAGTACTTCTCCCCATGCTCCAGCCCCGTGTATGTTGCTAAATCTGTGCTGCAGGGTCTTCACAAGCAAAGACAAAAATACCCACCATGCTCCCACTTCCTAGACTTATTAGGGTGTAATTATTTCACCATTACTTCTTCAAAGGTAAGAACTAAAAAGTTAACCCCTCTACCTCCACCAAAGTGCACCTTGTGGGTGGTAATAGGGCTAGTAGCATGTTGCATAAGGTCATTGGTTTAAATCTATATCAGGTTGGTTTTCCTACTCCAATCTGCTCGTCTCTCGTGACTTGTGTGAAGAAGGTTACCGTCACTGGCATTTTGACACTGTTAGGAAAGAAGTGACTTAGAGTTTTTGAGTCAGAAAGGAAAAATTACTTGAAGTTTTAAAGTCCCAAAGTCCCCGTACAAATGAATTAATCTGTGAACTTTTCATATTTAAAGAATTGGCTGCTTAAGTGTTTTCCTAAAAATGTTTTTGTTCATTATGACAAAAGCAAGGGTATTTGCATTATCAGTTCTTAATTGCTTTCCAAGTAATTTCACTGTTTACGCTAAAGGATTTCTTGAAAACTGCATGGGGTTATCAACATGTCAAGGAGCTCTTGTTCTGTTCCAGTAACCTAAAAATCTAAGGGTTCATTGTCTAAGCTTCATTCGTAATGTGGAACATTTACTGGGACCATGAAATCATTATTAAGAGCAAACAACTAAAAGCGTATCTTTCTGCACAGTTCTAGAGCATGAACCAAAAGCCACTGGTACGAACGATGAAGAGGAGGACGAGGGAGAACAGTTTGACTTTGACAGTGGAGATGAGATACCAGAAGCAGACAGGCAAGCCCTTGTGCCGCCTCCTCCTGATCCTGGAGATAGTATAGAGCACCAAGAGGTTAATGCCGTAGGTAAGTCAGCCTGTTGGGCTGTGCCTCCACTAGGTTAAAGAGTCAAGACTGGTTATAGGATGCCTTTTCTTGACAGTGCAATAAAAATACTTGTAAAAAGGCGTTTCCATGGAAATACCATACAAGTGTTTTGAATATTCCTGCTAGTTACCCTTATTTGACAATTTGACAGTAGATTTGACAAGGCAAGTGACCATCACATGTAATTCCTGTGAGGTTTCCCATGCCAGTGTGAAATCCAAACCAATGGATTGGTCTCGGTCATGGTGCCATGCTACAGGAAAACTTTATGCCCTTGCAGCTTTAATGGCATGTGGATGGCTTGAGATAAGCTGCTTTCACAGCTAAGTTTGCTGTTTGCTGATCTTATGATGACGTGCATAAAAATAAATGGAGTCTGAATGTATGAATTTTTTTCACAAACAGAATTCTTATTTTATTAAACATTAAAATATTTGTTACAGCACACGCAGATGCTCCCAGTGTTGAGATATAGTCTGGAAATCGCTGTATTTGGTTCAAGTGGACAACTGATTTTGCTGACTTTGATCCAGTTTCCTTTTGTAAACGGAGTCATTGTTATGGCAATTAAAGATAGATAACTCTTCAGGTGACTGTGCAGTTTGACAACCTGGAACTTAAAACAACATCTTTCCCTGAAAATCTGTTGCTCACGCACCCCTTTTTGAAGTTGTACTTACAGCCCCAAAACTTTTGATCACTTGGGATGCAGTTGTGCAGCTCATTTCGGAGGAGCCTTTGGTTTGGCTGTACCTCAGCTTGTCTCAAGAAATACCAGGAACTTCATGTAACATAAAATAATTTATTTTGAAAGCGGAAAACTTGGAAAGTTATTTTCTTTCCCTTTTTTTAAACAGAGCATTTTCAGGACTGTTCTTTCAGGAGTGTCCCTCCAGTGAATGATTTTTCTCCTTGTGGCTATTCCTAAAATGTGTCTCATATTTGTGTTTATAAGATCCAAATTCATCTGGAATCCAGATCTTAACCTTCAGGGTTTAAGGCTGGCTTCATCCATGGGCTTCTGGCAAGCAAAAGAGGACCCTGGCTACTTGTCAGAAATCCTCCTATTCAGGGTTTAGAATCCAGTTACTGTTTTTCTGTAGGCATCCTTGTAACCCAGCTTGTTTTGCTGCTGTTGCATTCCTCATCAGTAAAATAGGGAGGATAACACTACTGTGTGGGAATTTTATGAGTCATAGATTGTAAGCAACTTGTATAGTAAGGATCATATCAGCGTTGAGGATATTTGCAAAGAGCAATATTAAGCAGCTTGAAAAGGTATGGAAAATAAAACTTTATTTTTTCGTTTAACTTTCAGCTAAAGGGGCTGATAGTTTAGAAAACAGTGAGAAGTTACGAACATCAGAACCTGCTGCGGAAGGCACTCCGGCCAAAGTAAACCCCTACTCAGTCATAAATATTTCACCAATCCAAGACAAGGATCCATCCTCCTCACCAGAACCAAGTCCTCAAGATGAATGTGCGAGTCCAAACTTGTCTGGTGGATATTCTGTTCCTGTCCCCTGTGGCTATGCTGTGCCATCTAATTTACCTTTGATACTGCCAGCATACTCCAGTCCTGTCATAATACGCAGTGTTTCTGTAGATGAAGAAGGTACTGTATTTACACACCTTACTTTATTTGAAGGGGTATCCTTGTTTAACTTCAGGTGCCTGTGCTGTTTTGTAAATGCTTGCGTAGCACTCAGCCTGGACGTCTGTGGGAGATTTTGTGTCAAAATAGGAAAAGAACTCTGTCCCACTGTATGAAGTAAAATTTCTTGTTAGACTTGGAACAAAAGTGTCAGTTTATTTAAAAAAAAAAAAAAAAGTTTCTACGGGACTCTGCTTGCTGTACTAGGATTGAGATACCTAAGAAAAGATGCATAAGAAAAAACAAATGTCCGGAGTTAGTTCTTTCTCAACCCTTCTTTAAGTTCATGATGCTTGACCTTTGTTTTGCTGGCACCGTATTACAACATACAGTACAAGGGAGGACTCTTGTCTTATCTTGCCATTAAGAATGATTAATGCTAATTCCCTTTTAATGTCATGAAATAATTTCCAGTGTTGAAGCCAAATGGTTTCTTCTCATACCTTATCATGCTTCATCTATGTCCTGGCAGAGGTCCTGTCCCTTTTACCTTTTCTATATGTGCTTCTGTTTGTTTGTTTGTTTATTTTCCAGTCCTTGTGGATTTAGAGTTGCTGTGGGATGTTTTCCTTGACAATTTGACAAATTCTGTTTGTCCTTTAGTATGATTTTAAGAAAAAAGAGGGAACTTGAAAGGGAAATTATGGATTGTTACAGAAACAGAAGCAATTCCCTATTTTGTAACTAGAATTGGCAAAGCTGACAGCTTAATGTCAGGAGAGCAGGAGGAACAGAAAGCTCCCTATATCCTGCCTTTTTCTTCTTTCTTGTTTTTTGAATATACTATTTTTTAGCCAGACAGCAATTCTACTGTAGTTCCATGTACTGTGATAACTTTTTTTTTGGCAGCCTTTGCTGTCTACCACTATTAGGAATATTGGCAAGTAAAGCAAATGTGTTTGTGTGGTTGCTATTACCTGTAGAGGAATATATGTTTGAGAGATTAGAATTAAATGCATCAGACATTGTAATTTCCTCTTACCAGCTCTTATACCAAATTGTTGTGTCTCTGAATTCTTTCATTTGCAAAAATAGATAGTGTGAAGAAACTTCTCAATTTTTTTTAGACACGTGTTTAAGAATAAAAATATTGTGTAGTAGGTTGTCATTAGCAAAACATAGTAAAATCATACCTAGTAAAAAACATACCGTTTGAACCATACTGATATTTTATTCCAAGCATTTTGCCAATTGTATTTTTTTTTCTACTTAGCAGGTACACAGTCAGCAACTGAAGAATGTCATTGTAATTCGGTAAACTCAGAGGAGCCTCAAAATAGGTAATTGCCAGTTCAGCATGTTTTAATGATCTGTAAAACCTTAATTCCTAAGAAAGCTTACATTTGATAAATATTTTATTTTTCTTGTGTGACGCTTCCACATTTGTTTATTTTCATTTTCTTAACTCCGTAACTCTGGTTGTGTACTAAAACCAGCACTGGTTGAGGTCTTGTATGTATAACTGTGCATGACTCTGTATAACTGTGCAGAAAAAAATCTTCCAATATGCTGTTTGTTGACCATTTCCCCTGTGTATCACCTGGCACTGGAAAAAAAAAAAAAACAACAGCTCCCAAAACCCCCAAAGCAAACCCAAACCAAAAAAAGAACCCCAACTCCATCATCTCTGTAGCTGTCCTTCAGATGGTTGTAGCTGCTGTTAGCTCACCCCGTAGCATCCTTTTCACCAGACTAAATAAGCTCCTTGTCTTCCACCTCTTTTCTTGTAGTCCCTGTGCTTTAGTCCCCGACTTCAATTTCTCCGCGTCTCTCTAGAGGTAGCTTCTCTAGATGTATCTTCAATTTCTCCACAACTCTCTAGAAGGGGGTGTTGGGAAGCCAAAACTGGACGTGTTGCTGCAGGTTCAGCCTCACCAGCACCAACCAGAGGAGGATAACAGTGTCACCAAGCCCAGTGGCTCCTGATGTAGCCCAGAATATCTTTAGTCTTATTTACAGTGAAAGAGCAGCTTTCACTTCACTGCTTTATAAGAGAGGGTTTTCTGTGTTTTGGTAGAAGAATTGAAAAGCAAAATATTTCTTGAGATTGAAGGGAAGTGTTTTCAATTTCTTGACTAAAACTGTCAGACTGTTAAGTAGATTATTAATCTCCTAATTACATACTGAAGCAGCGGTTTTGAGTAATCAGCAGCCTCAGAGTGGGAACTGGAAGGCAGCAAGATATTTATTGTCTTATCTTCATCTTTGTTTAAACACATTGTGGCATAGCTTTTAATGCTTTTATTTTATGGCCTTTTTTTCAAGTGAAGATAACCAGGCCAAGAGAGAGGATGATGTTCTGGCCAAGTGGGTTGCAGATCCTGCTAATACGGCATGGATGGAAAGTAAGTATCAGTGAGCACCAAAGTACAACTATAGAAGAAGGTCAGTTTTAAGTTGTGATTGACAGTATGTGTGTAGCTATATGCACAGGTAACTTTTACAGGAATGTCCACGTTCACTTTTGTTGTGTTTTTTCAGGTATGTTCCAGAACTGAGTTATACTAGTTAAAACATTCAGCAGTGTAACAAAATTGTGTATTTTAGAATAAAGTTAATGTTCAGTTTTCATGGAGTGCTTTTTGGAGTCTGTGGAATCATTCATCACTGTCTTAAGGGAATCATTTGGCTCCATCAATATGTGTACAGTGGAAATTTCTTCATGTTCAGTCTTCTCTGTGGCTGTATGTGAAATTGTTCTTTTCATGCAGTAATTGGCAAATAAGTTCTTGGAGAAGGCGGAACGGAAGGAATTGCCACTTTTTCTTAGTGTGTGCCCTTGGCTGGCAGCTGCATTTTAAACCAGAACAGAGACCGTGTGGTTTGAGGACATGTTATCCTGCCTGTTCTCAGCTGTCCCCACTGGGCTGGAGGTTCGTCTTACATGTAACTTTAAGTGACTGAAGAATTTGCATCCTTGTCCTGCCTCTTAATGTACTACAATGATCATTACATTGTTTAGTTTTGGTTCTTTTTTAAAAATGTATATTACAGCTTCTCTACAGCCGTTTAGTAAGGCAATGAGCAGCCCTTGACAAGCACAGAACATACCATAGTGTTGTAAAAAGGAGGGAGAAACGTTGGCTGTTGAAGTGGGTTTCTGTTTATAGGCTACCAAAGGTCATCATCATAAACAATGCAGATAAAACTGTGTGAAATTTCACAAATATCTTATACTGGTTTTGTGCATTATTACATTATTTGAATGATGATTAGATGTACTAGCAAAATGCCAGTGGAGAATGAGTCTTACCTCCCTTTTATCCATATGTGCCAATATAGCCAGAATTCTTTAGAATAGAATACAATATTTCTGTTGGAAGGCACCTACAGTGATCATCTAGTCCCACCACCTGACTGCTTCAGAGCTGACCAAAAGTTAAAATACGCTATTAAGGGCATTTTCCAAACGCCTCTTAAACACTGTTTGTTGGTCCCATACAAATTTTAGAGTGTTTCTCATTTGTTTTGGTTTTTTTGTTTTGTTTTGTTTTGCTTTTAGACCCAGATGAAGTAATTTACGATGATGTGCCAAGAGAAAATTCAGACTCTGAACCAGGTTTGAGGTCTTTGTATTACAGACCATGCTGAAAGCATTGTAATATGGAATTATGTGCATGTGTACTGAATAGATATGTTCATTAAGTACCTAAAATATATGTAAATGGAATTAACACTGTGTCAGTAATCGGCAGGTCTTGCAAAGTTCAGAATTAAAGTAATTCTTGAAAGACAGTCTTGCAGCAGGGCTTCTGCACCCCTCTTCTTCGA